AGTAGCTGGGACTACAGGCACGTGCCACCACGCCCAGCTAATTTTTATATTTTTAGTAGAAACAGGTTTCACCATGTTAGCCAGGATGGTCTCTATCTCCTGACCTTGTGATCCGCTGCACCCGGCTACCACCTGGATCTTAAGATGCAGATCCTGAGGCAGTCTGGGTGGATCCCTGGATGATGCATTTCCGGGAGTTTGCAGGGGATGTGACACTGCTGGTGCATGGACCACATCTGAGCAACCAGGCGAGAGTGCTGGTTTCATGGAAGGCTCTGCCAAATGACCGCAGGGCCAGGCCTGGGGAAGGGCCACCCTCCCACCTGACTTGGAGCCTTATAGGCTCTGAGAAGCCCTGCAGCTGAGAAACCTGTTGGACTCTTGAATCCAATTCTGGCCCCGAGTACAGGCTCACTGTGGGGAAAGCAGGAGTGAGAGGTGCTGGGTGGAGCCCAGGCCACGTGAGCCCCTGCTGTGGCCTTGGCAGCCACATGCTTCTCTTGGCCTGGACCCTTCTCACATTCAGGGCTGAGTGGGCAGGAGTGTGGCTGGCTGGCACCTGGGTCGCCTCTGCAGGCTGTTGGGGTGGCCCAGTGCCTTAAAGGCGCCCTCCTTGCAGATGGGGCAGTGGGCCTCTGTCTTCCTGGACAACGCCAGCGGCTCCTCCCTCACAGTGCGCAGCGGCTCCCACTTCAGCGCTATCCTCCTGGGCGTGTGAACGGCCACCACAGCCCTTTCCTCTCACGGGCAAATGGAGCAGAGGCCTAGACTGTGTGGACAGTGTCAACTGGCAGTGGCCGCGTGCAGGAGGCCCACCCGGAACTCTCCCCACACTGGCCGCTGCAATTCAGCCCACAGAGCCACTGCAGGCAGGCCTGCGGAGGTGGTCCCAGCGCTGGGAGTGATTCAGAAAAACCATCTTTTAAAAGGGGAAGCCCTGTTGGACTGTTACCCAGGAAATGGCAGGTGTGCCTGGGGCACCTGCTAGTCCCCGGCTACAGGCTGGCTCTTTCCTGGCCTGCTCAGCACCTGCCCAGATGGCCTCTACATCTTTCCTGCAGTCCAGCCCCACCTATTCCACCTCTCTTCGTGTTCTCACAGAGTGACAAGCGCACTGGCCAGGGTCCCTGCCTGGAAGAGGGTACACTGGTGCAGGGCTGAGGGGGCGCCACAGGGAAGCATGCTGCATGTTACTGCTCAGAAGGGACAGGGTCACCCACCACCCCCTGGTCTCCATCTGGGCTCCTTGGTCTTCCCTGCCTTTCCCCTAGCCATGCTCCACCTGCCAGTGGAGCTGAGCACTGCTTAGCCTGGGCCAGGGGGACACTGGACAGGGTCCACTGGGGGACAGTGAGTCTGGACCCAACTTTCAGGAGCAGGTCCCAGTTCTAATGTATGCAAGATTAACTCACAGATTTACCTCAGAAGGCCTCTCCAAATGAGAGCTCCGCTCTTTCCCTCCTCTGCAAGTCTTTTCACAGCCAAGGCCCCCTTCTATCCTCTCCAGAGGCGGATGAGATCCCTTTTCCCCTCCCCTCTGAGGCACTGACTCACTGCTAGGATCCACCCACCAGAGGAAAGATCTAGAATGTCTTTATAGATTGGAGACATCCGGGCTTGCTGACCCATCAGCCGAACAGCTGAAGCAGAGGCTTCCTGAAGGGATGCCAGGGCCTGGCCGGGTCCAGCGGCTCTGGGATGAGCCTTCCAAGCATCTTTACCACTTGGGTGGTGATGTGGCTCTGGGACTGGACAAGTGGTAGATGAGACAGTCTCGAGAAAGGGTGGTCTCGGGAGGGCTGGTCCCAAGCCTGTGCTCCTGTGGCAGTGATAGGGTATGGGGAGGGCAGCTCTCATGAGGAGACACGGGCTGTGAGCCCACAGCCTCCTCAAATGTAGCCTCCCACATTTTCCCCAAAGAGCAGGACTGTCCCAGTGTAGGCAGCGACCTGCAGGACCTTTTACCTGCTGAGGAAGGGTTAACCTGCCGCCTCCCCACACAAAAGGCTACCAGGGACCTGGTACCTCAGACCCTCCTGCGAGCCAAGCTAGTCTGGCAGGGTGCTCAGGCCTGGGAGAGAAGGGAGCAATGGCCAGTCACCTTCACCTTCTAGCTGGCCTCTGCTGAGGGGACCACTGCCAGGCCAGAATGATCCCCAGGAGCCCAGCTTCCAAACCCCAACTCCGAATCAAGCATCTCCATCCCTAAGCACAGTAATATATAAAAACCAACCACTCTGCCCTGGGGCAGGCCTGGTGCAATTCTCAGTAGGACTCATACCCACCCTACCTGGAAGTACTGGGCTTGCCTGGGTACTGCGTCCCCTGCACTTTGATAAGGGGGTGATGTGGCCACACCCTTATCTAGATTTCACTTTGTATCCACTGGGCACAGCTATTTTAGAGAACGTATCTTCTACTCTTGAAAAAGCCACATTCCACATCTTTCATTTTCCCAGTGTGTTTTGCAACAATTAAAGTATTTATTGTCTAATACTGGCTTTGTGGGGTGGCTCCAAGTACTTAAGAACTCTGTGACGTTACAAAACAAACGGCAGGCCTTAAGATCCAGAATCCACCCTTTAACCCAGGTTCACTAAGGACAGCAAGGAGGAACATAGAAGGTGAGGTGGAGATAGCCTCCAGTCTCTAGGTGGGAGGGACTCCCCTGAAGGCTGGGAGTGAACCTTCCTGCGAAGCCAGTGTCCAGCCTCTCGGGGACAGTGGGACATGGGGATGGAGGAGTCACAGACATTGTTGTGCAAATACCTGGTTTGCTGGGGTGCCAGGGCTCTTTTCTTCAATGATGCCATACCGTACAATCTCCCAGTCCTCAAACTGAAATGGATACTTACTTGGATCTTTAAAACTCCCTGGGGAAGGGGCAGCACCAACACTTCAGTTTTTACTTATGGCTTTGACACAACAGATCCCCAGGAGTCACCTAAGGTTTCCATGAAGCATTTACCAATGAGGTCCTTATAGCATGGATACCAATTCCACTCACTGAATCAACTGGGTGATAAAACCATATGTGTGTGTTGGGTGGGGGCCAGGGAACATTACAAAACAGATTCTGAAAAGGCAAATTTTTAGAATCTTACATCATCCAGAGCCAAACATTTACACAAAAGGATCTGAGAGCTGCTTTACTAAAAACTACTTACAGTCCTAATGACATGTTTTCTATATAAACAAGTGCTCGAGAAGAATTTTAAAGCTTATTCTTCTGAGCTGCTTATTCATACACTCTCTTCACGCTTTTAACATCCTTCATAGAATGTCCCCCTCTGAGGTGTTATTGCAAAGACAAACCTCAGTCCAGCACAGGGCCCACTGCCCACACTACCTCAGGTGGGAAGTAGAATTCCCAAGCCATGCTGGGCAGCAGGCTGCATGCCCCCACAGGAAGGTGCACACCTGCACCCTGGAGACCCAGATGGAAGCCACCAAACCGAACCTAGTCCTCCACAGACTCCTTCTGCCAGACTGCAGCTCTCACCAACAGAATCAGAACCATGAATTCTCGACTGTTTCTAGAGGGTCTGATGCACAAATAACCTTGTGTATCAGTCTATTCCTGGCTAAGCCGGAGCTCATGCTATGCAACATTTTGCAACAGTATCTGTGTATGGAAAACTGAAAAGAGCTACAGGGTTTCAAAAGCCCTGGTCTGGTCAGCCTTGTCTCTAACCAGTCATCCCCACCTTCTCTTCATTGCAACATGCCACTTCTGCCACCAGGGTCACCGTGAGGGTGAAAGCACAGCAAAATGCCTGTGAATTACAAAACCTCACACAACAAGCAGCTTGCAGGTCACCACGAGCCAGTCCAAGACACCTATAATGGTTTTAACAAGGAAAGGCAGCATATTCAAAAGCAAACACCATCTCTGAAGGGTCAAGTGATATTCACAGTATAATCACTCAAAAGACTAGGAAAAAAAAAAAAAAA